ATTCCTAATGATTTATAACATGTTACCATTTATAGAGGGAGAAAGATGGAGCCAGGGAAGGGTAGTAATCTTATAGGACATCAAGAGCATCTTAGTCCATTAACCCAGAACCCAAAATCTGTGGAGCTTTGGCCCAACCCCAAGGAGATGACATTGAACTTACTTGCAATATGTCTCTAAAGCAGAGGGGCTCAGATAAATGAGAAATGTGACTTTTATGTACTTAAAAGCTGGGGAATCTATATACCGTGTGTTCATCTTCACCTTCCAAAATTCCAAAACTAGAAGCAGTGTGTTCTGTTTTGTCCTTTCCGGTTGTAGAGTGGGAAAGGTAATCTGCAGTAGGTAGGTAGTAGGAAAACATGATTCCAGAGAAACTGATAATGAAGCATGCTGCCCACCCCCTGATGGAGAGTGATAGATAGAATGAGACATGTTTTTGGTCCTGGTCAATGTGGTGATTGGTTTTATTTGACCATGCTCACGTTATAAAAGTTTTGTATTTCTTCATCCCTTGTGGTACTCTCAACACCCTACCCTCATTTCCTCCCCTCCATTCAATAGTGGGGTGGGAGAGGGAAAAAAATGCTTGTTAATTAAAAAACAAAACTAAAATTAAGCGGTGGGAAAGATCACCCAGGCTGTAATCCATAATTCAGAAAACTAAGTTCAGTGAAGTCCCTACTACCGTGTTCTGTCTTTAAAAATGCAAACACTGAACCACAGAGAGCATTAGCCCTTATAAGGACTGGCCAAGCTCAGTGGCTGCTACAGCTTTTCCTCTGAACAAATATACAAATTCAAGCTGTTCGTATCTTACGCTGAAGACAGTGTTTTTATTTGTATTTCCAGTATTGTCTTCTCGTTTGGGTACTAGAAGAGTCCTCATTATGACAGTATAACCTAAATTATATCTTTATTTTAATCTAAGGAATTTGGTTTAAAGCAGGGACAAGAAGTCATGACTAAGGGTGGAAGATTTTTTAACCCCATCTTTCAGTTCTATATACTAACTACATGTATCTCCTTTGGGAGAATGATTTTGTACCTTTCCCTTTCTGCCACATTTAAAAACGGCCTAGTGCAACAATACGGGACAGGAAGCTTTTTATTAAGAGGAAGGCACAAGGTTCCTAGAGCCACCCAAGGAAAAACCACCCCTCCGATTTGAAGACGGAGGCTGGATGTCTGCTCTGGGACATTTTGACTTAGTGGATGTGAGGCATTTCTAAAGACTGTGCCTAAGGGGCTGGAATCCAAAGACTTCTAGTGAGGTACCTTTGTCAATGGTACTGGAAATACCAGCTGGCAACTCTGCATATGCCTCTTAGACAGACAGACACACACTCTCTCTCTCTCACACACACACAGACACACACACACATAGTGGAGGGAAATTTTTAAAAATGTAATTGTAAATCTGATAGATCATAGTATTACAATAGAACCCCAATTTTAAAAGTTTTCATAGATTTTTGTGTTTCTTTTTCTTTTGTTGGTGGTGGTAAAGACTATAAATTTGTTTTGTCCATAAACTCACTGGCTGAATATTCACAGAAAAACACTCTCAGAAAAGCAATACTTGCAAATACAAGAAGCCATAAGAGTTCATTTCCATAAGTCTCATGATTCCTATAAAATTAGCATGTAAAGAAGCTAAAAGGATGTGTACTTCTTAGACTGTACTCTGAGCAGAGCAGAGGCCCAGGACATACCATTGGTGGTTGGTCTAAATCCTGTTACAGTGCAAATTTCAAAAAGCTACACTTATCGAGCTTCCAGTTTTCTCCCATATTCTACACTAATGCTTGGTCACCATTGATTAGGAGATGAGTCAATAATTAAGGTCTAGGACTGAAGATAAAACACTTAGCACCTGTGATTCTATGATTCTTTAGCCCTTTGCCCAAACGGCTTTTAAGAAAATCAGATACCTTGGGTATTCTACTGGGCAGCTTAATCTCTGGGCATAGTTCAGTTTTGGAGCACCAGAGATCATTTTACCGAGAGAAAGACTAAGTTGCTGGTTTCCCTGTGTTCACTGCAAAGTAGACTCCTCAAATATTCAACAACAGCTCTTCAATTAGCAGCCTTTGGACCTGGGGGATCAAAGTAAAACTCTAGGTCCTAGCATAAGAAAAAAAGGCAATGATCAGTACATCCCACATTTAATAGACAATGTAACCTCACATATATCTTTATTGGTTACCCCTTATCTAAACCGAAAATTTGGATACCTTTGATTGATCATTCCCTTGATGACAGAACAGTCAAGACTGGATTTGGAATTAGGAGACCTAGATATGAGTCCCCACTGTCATTTACTAGGTATGCGCCTTTTATCAAATCATTTCATCTCTCCCTCTTTAGGCCTTAATTTTCTCCTGTGTAAAATAAGGGGTGGGAGGTTGGACTAGATCAAGGTTTTTAACTTGGGTTGTGAACTTAAAAAAATATTTTTATAATTATATTTCAGTATAATGGGTTTCCTGTATAATCCCCTATATTTCATTTTATGCATTTAATAAACATTAGTCTGAGAAGAGGCCTATAGGCTTCAAATGACAAAGGAGTTCAGGACACAAAAAAGATTAAAAACCCCCATACATCTATGATCTTATGAAAAGAAAGTGATTTCCTGAAACAAAGACTCATGTTTGGGGATACTACCCTTTAGAAAACTTTGAATTTTAGCCAAAGGAAGGTGCTCTCTTAGAAATGTAAGCAGTAAGATCTAGGGGGCACAATTACTAAAAAATGTCTAAGCCTACCATCGAGCCACATACCATCTTACAGATAAAACAAAGCCCACACCTGATTGCCCAAAATGAGGTTATTCACATGGGGGTATATATGTGTGTGTGTGTGTGTGTGTGCGCGCGCACGCGCTAAGTGAGGAAAGCACCAACTAAAGCTACTTTGCGTGGGATAATACAACCTGCAAACAGCATCCAGAAGGGTAACAGCAGCAACAAACCCTGACAAAGGGAGACATTTAGGCGCTACAAAAATAAACGTTTGTCTTTCTTTCCTATTCCTCACAGCTGCAAAGGATTTGGCTTTCTATTTATCCTCGTCGGCCAGTTTCCCAACGTAAATACATTAGGAAACATCTACTGATGTTTCAGACTTCCCTCACTATGCTGTGTGACATGGAGGAAGTCTTCACCATCATCATCATCATCACACGTGGGAGGCAGGGGCATAGCAAGGGGGCGTGTCTCGAGGGATCTCTGAAGAGGCTCGGGGACGGGCCACGCTCCAGGCAGCATCCACACAGACCAGCTGCCATACTCCATGAGTTCTCCACCTTTTCCTGAGATGCCACAGTTCTATCTATTCCTTGATTCTGGGGAATTGGTAAGCCCACTGCCTTCTTAACTCAATTCCCTGTACACATTCTCAAGTTAAAACAAAACCAAACCTAGACACTATCATCTTTAAGTTTCTACTAGTCTCTAAAAACTTCCCTGATATATATAGTGCATGCAAATCTCTTAAATAGGGGAAGTCTTCAATAGCTAAATGGTACTTGAATACTATGAGATTGCTCTGAAGTCCAATTAGCAAGGTTTCAGGAGCAAGGATGGCAAGATGGATGGGCTAGGACTGGGGTCTGCCCTATAAATGATTTATTTGGAAATGTACTGCAATCTAAAAGTGGAGCCTTTTGAAGGCTGGAAAGACCATCTTTTCTCATTCTAAGTGGACTTTCCAATCCATCCCATACAGAGTCAGTGACAACAAGGAAGGAGAGAGAAATAAAGCTAACATTCTCCAGGAAACAGGCAGAGGGTGAGAGCTTGGTCTGACGAGCAGCTTCTGCTGCTCCCTCCATGAACTTCACAAAGGACTCTGCTTGGGATGACTGGCTCATCTTACATGTACCTTCTTTAATACGAGTATCAGAATACTCTTGGGAATTCAGGGAAAAGGTGAAGTACCTTATGAAACATTGCGTTAAAAAAAAAAGGAAGAAAAAAAAGTTCCAAAAAGTAGTAGGTGAGGGGGAAGCACCAGAGGACATAAAAAAAAAAAGGAGAAAGGAGAAAGTTCCAATATGATAAATTATTTCATACTGATGCTCAATCAAGGAGATGGAGCTTGTGAGTTATTTTCTCACTTCCTGAACAATGGAACTTCCAAATCTGGAGACTGACTTCTTCTGAGAATGCAGGAGTTTTGATACAAGACAAAGCCTATAGACGGAAGAAGAGGAAGGAGGAGGCACTGAGCAATTCATCCCATTCTGGATGAATGCCCTAAAGTAACTTTTAAAAGGTGGCCAATATACTTGGACCTTAACTAGAGAATGTATGGGTGTGTTTGTGTGTATGAATGTGTCCTTCAGAAGAGTAACTAAGCATGCATGTTTTATTACAATCCCTTGCTTCCCAAGGTCTGACAGGCCTCCTTTTCCTTAGCCCACTGCAGTTCTGGAGAGGAAAAACAAAAAACAAAAACAAAAACAAAAAAACCAATATTTCACTTCCTGGGCCACAGAATATACAATTGGAACATATCATACAAGTAGATGATAGATAAGGAGCAAGAACAGACCCACAGACTAGTGCAATTGGGAGCAAAGATTCTTCTAAAATCTGAGTCAATTACCAAAACACAAAATGGGGCGGGGCACACATCACCCTCCTGGAGTCCACACTGGTTTGCATTTGTGGCTTAACTGCGTCCAAACCACGTCTGCCATCTTCTCTGGAGAAGGAGAAGAATCATTTACTCCGTAGTGGTAGATACCTGTGACATGAATGACTTTTCCTCAGTTTTTCTTTCTTCCTATTAAGATTCCCCCAAAGATCCCAATAACAGGCCAGGGGGAAGGAGTGACAAAATCCAAGTGTCAGAGAGTGACATAATACTGATTTTTTTTTGGGGGGGAGGGGGAGCAACAGTTCACAAAATGTGTGTCCTCTCCTGAGATACAGTGAACGAGGAAGGGGAAGAGAAGGGGACACTGTACCGTGGGGATGACATGATCATGCAGCTTTTGCTGTACAGATGAACAAGAACATAAACATTTGTCTGGTGCTCCTCTGAGCACCTGCAGGCAGTTTCCAGGTAAGCCCATGGCCCATTAGAAGGATGTCAGTTCGGTTCTTTCTACAGTGGCCCCTTGGGCTTTCGACCTCAGCTCTGGGCTTTAGCCCCCTCATCCTCTCTCAGCTCTGTGGGGAGGAATTTGTACTGCTGCTGGCGGATCTGAGCCAGTTTTTTCCTCGCTTCTTCTAGTTCTCGCTCTTTCTTCAGCATTTCCTCTTGGGCAGCAATGATCTAGAAGAAAAGCAGTAAGGTTTGATGGGTTTGAAGAAGACATGGGCATGCCCCTGCTTTCCATCTTCTTCCTTTCCATATCTCTGTGCTGGGCACAGCTGTCCTTCATAATTTAATTAATTTATTTTAACTAATTTATTTAATTATTTTTATTTTATTTTGGCTACTACCCACCACCTTCCCTGGTAACTTCTCCATTTCCCCAAGAAAGCTCAGCTTAGATGGAGGGGCTTGGTATCAAGGACCTGAATTGCCAGAGAAAACATTCGCTCTTCCTCCTCCTCCCCTCCAACTTCTACACCTACCTCCTTTCACTTTTTCCTCAACTCTTTGTAATCTGGCTTCCAACCTCATCATTCCAATGAAACAGCTCTTTCCAAATTTACTAACAGGACAGCATTTTCTCAGTCCTTATCCCTTTCCACCTGTCTGCTGCATTGGACACTGAGGACTACCTTCTGAATACTTTGTTCTCTCCCTGGTTTTCATGACCCGACTCTCTTCCTGGTTCTCCCCCTCCCTACCTGACTGTTCCTTCTCAGTCTTCTTTTTTTATAGTTCCTTATCGATACTATGTCCCGTAACTATATATTCTCTCAGGTCCTATCCTAGGTTCCCTTCTCTTCTCTTCTCTCCCTTGGTAATCTTATCTACTCTCATGGGTTAGCTATCATCTCTATAGATTACTCACAGATCTATATTCAGACCCACTTTGTCCTCTGAACTTCACAATCACATTACCAGCTGCCTATTAGACATTTCACATCGTCCTGGAGATACCTTAAACTGAACATCTCTAAAACTGAACTTAGTGTCTCTCCTCCTAAAACCTCCCCTCTTTCAGACTTCCCTATTCCTCTCAAAGGCACCACCATCCTTCCAGTGTCTGAGATTTATTATCTCAGCGTTAGCTGAGACTTCTCAGTATTCCTTCACTGTACATTCCAATCAATGGCTGTTTAGTCTTGGCCTTACAATATCTCTTCCATCAGACTCCTCTTGTCTCCCGTAGTTGCCACCATATTTCAGGTACTCATCACTTCTGACTGGAGACACATGACTGTGTGACTTCCCTTCCCAAAAAACTCCAGTGGTTTCCCATTGCTTCTAGGATACACTGTAAATTCCTCTGTTTAACTTTTAAAGACCTACACAACTCGGTTCCAAGTTTTCTATTCAGTCTTGTCAGAAGTTACAGCCCTCCCACTTAGCGTGATCTGGCCAACCTGGCTTTCGTTCTGTTCCTCACTCTGGACACCCCATCTACCACCTCTCTGCTTTTGCACTGGCTGTCCCCCATGCCTGGAATGCATCCCTTCCTCACACAGAATACTTCTCTTTCTTCAAGATTCAGCTTAAGTATCAATTCCTAGATGAAACATTTCCCTATCCCTCCAACAACTTTGCACCCTTCATCCTGAACTACCTCCCATTTAACTACTTTGCATTTATTTGTATTTTTTCTCTTTATATTTATTCAGAATATATTCATGCAGGGTGTCTCAAAAGCTTTAGGACCACGTTAAATTACTAAAGCTTAGAGATACCCTGGGTATGTGCCTATTGTCTTTATTATTTGAATATAATCTTGTGATTGCAAGGATGGTTTCTTTCTTTGTACTTGTATCCCTAGCACCTAGAAGGCCCTTAATAAATGTTTGCTGATTGAATGATTGGACCCTTAGCAGCTATTGTAGGGGCTAAGGTTAGAGGGTACGCCAAACGTTAGTGCCTGAGGGTTCACACACCTGAGCAATGCCCCCCACAAACTTTGTCTTCACCACCACATCATCATCATCAGCTTTGCCAAAGGCTGCTTTCTGCGCTGCACGCACAAGATTGTCAGATGCTCTTTTCACAGCATTTCCTGCAGCCTAGAGTGAGAGTGAAATACAAATCATATTATTAAAGACACAGCCATTCACATTAGGCAAAACAGACCTTCAGATATGGTCAAACAAAGATGAAGAATTCAGACCTATGGGAAGGATGACTGAAGTAAACAGAACTAAGAAAACAGTATAGATAACGACAACATTGTTAGTGGAGATAATTAAACAAAATGACCAATTGGTCTTAGACAAAAGTTGAGAAAAAATGTATTTCTCTCCCTTTGTTAAAAAGGTGGAATGCTATGAGTGTGGAATATTGCATATAATGTCAATGTGTTTCTTTTGCTGACCTACAATCCCACCACCTCTCCTCTGGTCTCCCTGTCCCTTTCCTTTTAAATCTTTGTTTAAAGGGTTAGCTTGCTTGGTAGATGAGGAGAAGCATATCTTGTGATTGCGATTTAAAAACAAGAAATTAAATTTTAAAAGATGGAACCAAATTAATCAAACAACTAACCCTAAATAACAAGCATTTCTTTAGTGACCATAACGTACCAGGCACTGGGGATACAAAGACAAAATCAAAAACATATCACAGGATCACAGATGGAAGGAACCTTAGAGGTCATCCAGCTCAAATTAGTCTCTAAGGACAAGAGAGGTCAAGAGACTTGCCCATGGTCACACAGACAGTAAGTAGCAAAGCTAGGATTTGCTTTTTAAAGCATTTTTTTTCTAGCATTCTTGCTTTTAAAAAATAATTTAAATTAATATTTCATTTTTGTATTGCCTATGTTTTCCTCGGTATCTTTCCCCATACCCTCCTCAACAAACCATCCCTTATAACAAGTAATATTTTTTAAAAAGAAAGAGGAAGAAGAGAGAAAAAAATCTGCAAAACTGATTAATGCATTGGAAAAAGTCTGAAAATATATAAGACTTCCCACCTCTTCAAAGGAATGCTATCTTTGGGGCCATGCTTGTTCTTTGTAATTCTTCAATGTTCCTTTTCGATTGTTTAGTGGTTGTCATTCTTTACCTTGACATTTTTAAAGAGTTATTGTCTAAATCTTTCCATGCTTCCATCAACTAAATTAGTTAATAATATTTGTTATTTTTTACTGCACAGTAAAAAGGCACATTCATGTACCCCAACATTTTTAGCCATTTCCCAACTGATGGGCATGTATTTTGTTTCCAGTTCTTTGCTTCCATGAAAAGTCTAGCATTCTTTCTACTGCCCCCTGCTGCCTTCCTGGAGTTCCTACCCTCCAGATGCCTATATTCCATCAAAGTCAGGAGTTCATTTTTCATTCATATTATTATAAATAAGATTATTCTAATCAATAAGCAGTGAAAATGACCTTGAACAGCCTTGCCCAACACACTTTTCAAAATGTATTAATTCTTTACCTCAATACCAGTGTTAACTACTAAAGACTGAGCTCACTGTGGTTTTTAGGGTTACAATACTTTTAAATAGAAAGTGTAGATCTTGGTCACATATCCCAGCCAAACCTGCTGAGCTTTTTCTTAATGAGTGTGGTATTTCTTTCTATGCTATTGGCAGTCATTGTTTTTCTAGTTGTGATGATGAACTGTGATATGGTACCTCTGCATTTCCCACCTCCCCCAATCCCTGCCCCATTTTCTTGTGTGCTCTCTTGTGACCAATGATTTGTGATGTTTAAGACGGGACCTAGGGTTTTTTTCTGTGAAAACACAGCTGGCTCACCTGAGTAATTAAATCTATGACCTTGGCATCACTAGCACAGTCTTTAACCAAATGAGTAGAATGGCCCAGAATTTGAACCCACACGGAGAACTTAAAAGATCTAGAGTAGGCTTAGGGAGATCATATGATAACCACAAGAGATGACCTTATTTATGCTTTCAATCAGCTGCATGATCTGATTACTAAGGTGTACATCCTAGCCCTGAGAATAATGAAGTGAGATCTTTATTGATTCCTGTCTCAAAAGGAAGATGGCAGATCTATGCTCCTCAGAGTGACTTGGGCCTAGGACTGACTCCTGTAGAAAGACATTTTGACCTTCAAGCTGCTTGCTGCCTTCTATGAGCAAGTGCTGAGTTGTCGGAGATGTCACAAAGAATTAGAAGGACTGAGGCCTGTGAATCAGTTTTTATCATTTTAAAGATTAACAGATACTGTCACCATTGAGGGAACATTGTTTAGCTATTTGCTTCCATTTATAATTTTGTTAACTCACATATAAACATCTATATGTGTATGTGTAAATATGTATACATCAACTTATCATTAAACATGTGTTTTCTGATAGAGTCAGTGGGCAGGGACTATTTCATTAGCAAAGACAGAGAGAGCTGGGCCTGGAGTCAGGAAGACCTGAGTTCAAATCTAGCCTTGGACGCTTATTAGCTGGGTGACAATGGACAAGTCACTTCACCTCGATCTTCCCTGGTTTCCTCATTTGTAAAATGGGGATAATAATAGCACCTACCTCATTTGAGGATCAAATCAGACAATTATAAAGAGCTTAGCACAGTGCCTGGCACACAGTAAGCACTAAATAAATGTTAATTATTGTTATCATCATCATCATTATTATCATTATTATTATCATTGATTGAATAACTGATTAATTTATAAGCTTGCTTAACCCTGTGGAACAAAGTGTTATACAAACACATCGATTGCCAAAGGTGTATTCACCCTCCCGTCCCCTGGCATGAGGGGCTCTTACCTGTAGCCTCCGCATGGCCTCAGAGTCTTGGTCAGCCTTCACCTTACAAGCCACAAGCAGCTGGGCTGTGGAAGCTGCAACTTGCTTGGCGGAGGAGATAAGCTTTTCCTCACTGGCATGGCCCTGAACAGAGGCATTGGCGGCTTCACACAGGCTACTGGTTGCTGCCGCCACCATCCTGGCCTAGAAATTGCCAACAGAAAAAAAAAATGACCAGAAGCTCTCTAACTTTTCTCAGTGAGTTCAGAAAGCAAATAAAGAGAAAAGAAGGCAATGACTCACAGCAGAAATTAGTCCCTGAGACCATTGTCCGTCATCAGCAGCATTTGCGGGGATTGCGCCAACCTAAAGAGGACAATTTAGAGATATAAAGACAGCATGACAGGCCATCACTCCTCCCTTCCCCTGCTATTTACTTTTCTTCTAAACCTAAAAAGAGAGCAAACTAATTTATAATCCACACATGGCACCACCACCCATAAGTAGCACTAATATGAGACAGGACCCTGAACACTTCATGAAAGGCTATCCAAGCAGATCCTAGCCGGTCTCCCCTTGGGTCCTGCAGAATAGCTAAGAACTGTTCAGAATGACCTGATTTTAGTTGCCAGATACTGAGTTTCCCCAAAAAAGCTCAGGGAACAATAGGTGGGGGACATCTTTTATTTACATCCTTTGACAACCTTTTTCCACTTGAAATTTGGGAGCTACAAAGTCCCTGTATTTCAAGGGATGAGGGAAATAGAAATCCCTCTAGTTACTGGGCACTGAAAGTGGCAACGTGAATTTCCGGCAGATGTCTCAGAAAAAAAGCGGTTTGCCTTACTGTTCATAAACTCCTGTGATTCTTCATCTTCAAGAGATTCAGGTTGTTTGATCAGGGGAAGAAAAGCCTGAAGACAGCTTGTTTTTGTAACAAAAGATGTAACAACAAGGGGACTGTAGCAAAGTTTTAGGGGAAATGTTTTCCTTCTAGGAAGGCACACTGGAAGTTAGTGGCAATGCAAAGAACTACATTTTGACTTTTGGCTCCTGTCTAAAAATTTGGAGGGGCTGCACCTCACTGCATTGTCAAAGGAGACCTTTAGAAAGAGAAAGTGTAAATGGGATAGAGGGGATTAAAGGCGACTTCAGAGATTAAAGACTCAAACACCAGGGGGCATTGCATGCAGCTGCTTCTTAGACAAAAAGCAAGCTGCACTCATGTACACACATTTCAGATGACGTTTTCATTTATTTGCCTTTCAGTTATGAGGTTATTCTGCAGTGGCTTTGAAGGGTGGGTAGGATTTGGATAGGTGGAATTGTCCATCTAAATTACACATTTTTAGACTACAATTTTTTTTAAAGCAAGACATAATTATTAAATAACATTATTAAGTTTTTTATATTTTTTAGATTGGACCGTGGTTTCATTTTTACAGAAAATTCCCAAAGATGCCTGGCAGTTACTCTGTAATCAACAGTCTCAGAGGGCTGCCTAGGGGGCACTGAGAAAGAAGTTACTTTCTCAGGATGACACAGCTAGTATGTTAGAGGTAGGCCATGACCCTGGCCTTCCTGGCTAAGGCCAGCTCTCTAACCACTATCCTACCCTACCCTCTTCTACGGTGTTATACAAGGGGTCCTAGCATCAGAATGGTGGAGGAGACATTAAAGGTCATTTAATCCAACCCCTTCATTTAACAGATGACAAAACCGAATCTTTTAAAAAACAAAAACAACCTCCTCACCTCCCAAAAAAACCCCAAACTGCCATGCAATTGAATTTGAAGAGAAGACAAAACTAATCATAATCCTTAGGCCAAACAAGAGAGAACTAAGAACTACTATTTTGTGGTGAGACAGAATGGAATAGGTAGTTTACAGGTGAATCACATCTAAGAAGCCCTCAATTTAAACACAAAGTGGCATTATGACAGTTGGTACTCAGACACTAGCCGCGTGACCCTGGGCAAGTCACTTAACCTTGTTTGCCTCAGTTTCCTTAGCTGAAAAATGAGCTGGAGAAGGAAACGGCAAACCACTCCAGTATCTCTGCCAAGAAAACCCCAAATGGGGTCAGGAAGAGCTGGACATGACTGGAAAAACAACTGAACACCAACAAATTCAGAAGACAATTATCTGTGTAAAGTTGGTCACTCATTCCACAGGACTCAAATGCTAAAGAATGAATGACACTGCTTGGAACTGAGAAAAGGAAAAATGGGCTTTTTGACTTGTACCGGCTCCCAAGCTTCAGGTGCTTATATAGTCAGCCACTCACAAAGGGGAAAAAAAAGAGATTGTTTATGAGTCAAATAGTCCAATGGTACAATGGGAATATACATGTTTAGTCCAGGACTTGCTTCTCCATTCTAAAGTGGAATGCCTTCCTTAACAAGGAGCAGCTGGAAGGTCTGGAGTCCAAATACTTAATTATGTTTGTCAGGTTTATATAAACACAGTTTTCAGCCAATCTAGACCAGGGCTGGCAATTCAATGAGTAAAGATGTCATGTGTAGCTATTTTGATTCCCATCCCAGATCACTCAGGCCCTGTCTCCAGAGGCTTTTCAATTCCTCAGTTTTCCACTGCTTGCCCATGCTGGGCTTACTCACCTTCCCTTGGGCCACCAGCTCTCTCTGGGCGGCCGAAGCTGACTTGACAAGGGCACTCGTGGCTGCTGCAATGGATTTGGCCGCTTCTAAGATCTGTTCTTCAAAATCCAGAGTCTCATCTGCTTGCTATAATTAAAAGAGAACATTGTCATATGTAATTCATACGCACAAGGGGGCTGTTCCTGACAACCCGCACCATGCTGTCTCTTCCGTCACTGGTCTTTATTAAAACCAACCGCACCCGTACAGCATAAGTTGTCTGCCATCTGGATTTGCGCACATCTGTATAAAAAAAGTAAGAGCTGACCACTGGCAGGTACTGCAAAGATTTCAAAGGTGGGCATATTGTGAAAAGCATTTTTCTAAAAGCCGTATTTCCTTGTACCAAACTACAACAGAAAGCACAGAATCACACTGAGTAATATAATTTGAGTGCACGTTTTTCCAATAAGATACTACATGAGTCCTGGGGTAAAATTCGAGGGTTATGTTCCTGATGATTCTATTCTCTATAGGGCCCAGAATAAGGACAGGATGGCTATCTTCCATGTTGCATTGTGAAAAATGAAAACAAAACATGTGTCTGAATTTCTAAGGGTGAGTGTTAAAGAAAACCACACACTATGGCAGGGACACAATCCAAACAAACGTGCTTCAAAGCACAAGCTATCAAGTAGAAAGAAGCTGGGTCCAGGGATGTGCCACTTGAAACACAATGCAAATGTCATTTTAGGCCAATTGAACTCTGTGCTCTGATCTTAAGCATATCTTGACTGGATCACCTAGCAAGACAGAGAAAAGCTGTTCCAGTTCAAATGACATAACATGCTGGGATGCTGAAGGCAGACACTTGACCAAGGGGGTGGCCAGGAATCATTACCAAATGCCTAATTTGGCAGGATGAGAGACTTCATTGGTCAATCTTTGCAAACAACTCAAATCAAAGCATAACCAGTGATATCAACATTAACATAACTGTTCTGTACATTGGTGTCTTTAGCAATTGTACTCTGAACCCAGCAAAATGCCCAACTCATGTTTTTACAACATAATTACAGGGGAATTTCAAAGCAAAACAAATCCTCTAAGAATCAGGAGACAGACTTGGTGTGAGGATATTTGTTATGTCCTTCTTATCCTGGAACTCTGCTAGCTATGTCTGACTATGGTGTGGAATTCAGATTAAGATGGATACAGCTTGGACTCCCATCCAATAAGTGAGTGGAAGTAGGGTGGTTCAGTTACTACTGGAATTTTCAAAGGACTTTACTATAAAACAAATTCACCTAAAAATAGGGTCTTATGATGTGGGACCCTAAGGATTATATTATATCAAGGTTCTACTGTATAAAGAATACTCACTGAGGTTAAAGAGTTTTCCTTTTTGGTGCTTTGGAAATTCTTCTATGGGGAGAATTGTGTCTATCAGAACATTTTGATTCTGGGAAATGTATGGAATGTTGGAACTGGAAAGGACCTTAAGTGGTCACTTCATCCTACTCACTCAACTTCAACAGGAGAAAAATGAGGCCCAGAAAGAGTGGTATGTTCAAGGTTAGATAGCAGGTTCAAGACAGGGCCAGGATTAGAACCCAGGCTCTTAATCTACTCTTTTTTCTATCCTAGTATTCTGGTATAACAGAACAGCAACAGAACATCTGATCAGAAGAGGTCTCATTTTCCCAAACTATGATCTTTTAAACCAAATGATAAATCCATTCAATTTAACAAACATTCTTTAGGCATTCTTAAATGTTATTCCCAGTACAAATGGGGCATAGTACTAGCTTCAGTAGAAGATATAGAGTACAAAGAATTCCAAAGATGTGGAATTTTACTAAGTTTTTGTGAATTTGGCAAATTAAGCAAACCTCAAATCTTATTAAATGACAAATTCTAAGAGACCCTCCAACTTCTTTTGTTGCTCTGGTGTTTTATGTTATTAAATAATGCTTGAAATCTATGTTCTTCTGCCTGGGGAATCAGAAATCTTTTCAATACACTGAAATTTTGGTTGCCAATAACATTCGTTGTCATGCTATTTGACCAGCACTTATTTTATTCTCCACAGTACATACTCTAAAGCTTAAGATTGTTTTGAAAAGCTAATCTGTAGAAAGCCACTGATGCTATTGCTGCCTTCCAAAGACGGGCTTCAAATGGACAGCTTGATGGTCAAATAGGGTAGGTAGGATAGAAGATAATTAGACATTAACTGGGGTTTGTTTAGAGCCATGGAATGAAACCCGTACTATGTCTACTTCTTCTGCATCTGCCTGGAAGCCAGTTTTATCAGTAAATTTAAACCTACTCTGCTGAAAGCACACATCAATTACAGGGCACTGGGTCTCCTTTGCGGTGCAGGACTCCTAACCTAATTGCTGCGTGGGCTCTCCCAGAGCCATCATGGAATTTTTAGCTCAGTATTTACGAATGTGAAGGCTTTGACAGAGATCTTGGTTACCCCTGAAGTAATTATTCCCCACGAATGGCTGCCTTCTCAGGATAATAGCCAATAGAATCTACTAGTGGGAAAAGAGAGGAAAAAAAGAAGAAATGCTGAATTGGTGTATCCTACGAAGGTCTGCCTAAATGAAGGGCCACAACAAAGATGGGTGTCTTTGTTAAAAGAACAACTCACCACCGTGGGCAAGACTTGGCGTCAGGAGGCTGGAGGTGAATGTTAAGAATAATTCCCTTGGTATAATGGAAAGAACCCTGGGATAAGAGTCAGGAGACCTGGGTTTGAGTCTGAGGTCTATAAATAATGAACTTTATGACCTTAAAAAAAGTCTTCAATTCTCAGGGCTTCAGTTTCCTTATTTTTTTTTTTATAAAGAGAGAGGTTTGGTTAAATTATTTCTACGTTTCCTTCCAGATTTAATATTCTACTTTAGACTTTTCATTCTAATAATGACTACTGACTCTATTCTCAGATGCAGAAGAAAATAAAGACTTAAAAAACCCCCCAACGACAACCAACAAAACCCTGAGCTCCAGTTTCTAAGAAGAACTGACTGTTCAAAAAAAAAAAAGCCACAGGGTTTTTTTATGATTCTGCTTTAAATGAAAATCTACTGTAACTGATCATATAAAAGTAAGCTAGCTAGCTGATCAAAGACCACTTCTCAACTGTTTTTACCCACTGGGGTTGCATGCAGGACTTTTTAAAAAAAAAAGAAAAATCCTGCATTTAAATGGGATATCCCATTTAAAGGTGGCACTGTGGTATAGTGAATAATGGTAGTCTCACCATCAAGAAGATCTGGGTTCTAGTCTCGTATCTGATGCATACTGGCTTTATGATCCTGGACAGGTCACTTAATTTCTCAGTACTCTGGGCAATGCTCTAAGAGTATGAGCTCTGACGAGTGTACGAGCATCATTATGCCACCAGATCCACCCCTCATTTCTATCCCTACCTGATTTTAAAACTATTAATTCAACAGAGCCTGTTTAATATAAGCCATGAGAAACAATGATTGTGAGGAAGTCAGAGAAACATGGGAAGACTTATATGAAGTGATGCAGAATGAAGAAAGAAGAACTGAGAAAACAATATGCACAGTAATGTAGGGAACATGAAAAAGCAGTTGAATGCTGACATATACGGGAGGAAATGCGATGAAACCTCTTTGGCTTATTGAACTGACAAAGATATGCACATTTGCCCTTTCACTGAGCTGAAATCTACAGCCATGGGGTACGGGATAAGTTGTAAGACCAGGCTGACTTGCTGTCCGTTAGTTTTACTTAAATGTTTTTCCTTGTTACAAGGAAGGGCTCAAAGGCAGTGGAGGAGGAGGAGTTCAGGGGAAATGACCGGTATTGAAAAATTTTAAAAAGGTGTAAGAAAACAAATTATGTAGATAGATGAATGAATGATTAAAAAGTGAGCCATACAAGAATAAAAAAGAAAAGGTTTGCCTAAAGGGTACTGAATCTGTGTGATCTATGTCCCCCTCTCCCTCCCCCAATATTATTAATGGCCAGGGCTTTTTTTTCCGCAAATCTATACACATTTCAGATGGCTTCAGGTCATTTGTAATGAGAATACTGGCATTGAATAGACTCTGAGTCAAAGGAATGGGTGACATGCATGGCTAAAGTTAAAATTTCCTACCTCCTTCCACCTCCAGTCAGAGATTATGAAGGGGGTTTCACTCCAGACTGTTGTCCCACCCCTCCCCCCAATGTCCTTGCCAGCCACTTTTTTGAGAGAGGGGGAAAAGCATCTTCCGTGGGCTCTCCAAAGCGCTATAGGACCTGCCTGGGCACTAGCTATACCTGTGGATTCTGAAAGTGGTAACCGTGATGGCTACCTTAACGTGAACACGGTATGGAAAAGAGGATTGGTCACATAAAGGTCCTAATGACTGTAGTCACAGTCAATAGTATTTTGTAGTGTACTCCATATACAAACATTGGAGGCTTAAAAGTGTATGATTGATTCTTATGATATCCAAGATCTGGGATTTAAACATGCCTGTATAAATGCAACCACGCTTCTATTTGCTAAAGTCTACAAGTGAAGAAGAAACTCTTACTTAAATAGCATCAGGGAAAAAAAGCACAAACAGAAGCACAATTCAAGAATGTGGTGACTTTTCTTCCCTGTTAAAAATCAGGTCTTCAGCTGGCAAATATGAACATTCTTCTAAATTATTTTTAAACTCAATCTTGGCAAATTTACCACCAGAAAACTAACAATGAAATTTCCTCACTTTTCCACAGAAAACAAGATGAATGTTGCTTTATTTCTGCCTTAATAATGACAAAATGCACAAAATGATATAATAATGTCATCCATTCATGCAAAGGACTATGGAATCAAGCAATTCTCACTTCTAACAGTTTCTTCTTGAAAAATAAGGGTTAATATCTATCTCTCTCATGCCAAGTAGGCCAATATGGGTAAAGACTGCATTATTACTTTGCCTTCTGTTCCCTGGCCTCTTGGCATCAGCTTGGTTCCTATCCCATCTCTTGGAGGTCAGTCCTCTACCCATTCAGCCAAGTATTGGACTGAAGAATAAATAAAGGGTTCATGTAAGGGAGCTCTCTCCATTTTACAGATGGAAAGCATCAAGGACTTCTCTAATGATGGGACTCCTCTGGTTCCTTCT